TTATAGTAATGGTAAGCAATGTTGACTATTTCTAGGTGGAGTCATGAATGAGCATATGGAAGTCCCGGGATTTGCTTCACCTAGTTTAGGAATGTTGGTCTTGTCTTTATTTTGAGTACTCATAACAATGTTACTATTTTTATAAGTATTAATAAAAGAAAGTTGAGTTTCTGCTGCAAGTTTTGTTTTTGAGTTAAGTATTTTTGCGTAGCCTTGCATATTCACGCGGCGGTAATACGCCTAAGTCTATCTCTACGGTATAATTATACGTATATACTAGTATTTCCGTAGAGGAAGATTTGGGAGTGTTACACTTCGTTAGCCCTAAAGACAAGAGAAAATCAGAATTAAAACCCTAGAATTCTAAAAACCTTAATCTCTCAAGTTCTAAAAACCTTAATCAGAATTAAAACTCTAGAATTCTAAAAATCAGAATTACCATCATACTACTTTTCCCTCTCTTCCCAAATACTCTTCAACCCTAGTATACTCTTTTGAAGTCCTTGGAGGTACGAAGAAGGAGGGAAGTCCATAAACGCCCAAAATGGAGATCTAGCAAAATGGAGAATAATAAGTTTCCTGAGCACTTAGTTAAATCACTTTTCCTTTCTTGTTTAAATAACTTTAATCAATTAATTAGTGTTGTTTGATCACTTTAAATAAACTCTAACTAATTTATTCACATAGCATTCTTTCGTTAACTAAAGACTAGAAATTGAATAATTAAATTGTTGTTTTATCACCTAAGTGAAGGCGAATCTTGTTTTATTTCTTGTTTTTTTTCACGAATTTGAATTAAAAAAGAATAACGACATTCATTGCAATGTAGACTTCTTATGATTAATGTTTGTAAATAAAATCAACTAACTTAGTTTTTAGGAATCGCGTTGCACATATTATTTGGTAATAAAATTGTGAAAATGGAAAAGCTAGTAGAGGCCGCACTAGGGCTAGGATTAAGATTCTCAAAGATAACGTTTTTCCAGTACCCCCGCTCCCAAACTCATTTTTGGTTTAGTAAACCAATTTGGGCATGGGTAAACTTATGATTCATGCTAATTATCCCTTTAATACTACTTGAAGAAAGGTATGAACAAGATTTATGAGTTTTCCTAAAACTCATTGGCGACTCTCTATTGTTTTCTTATAAAAAAAAAAGTAATGACAAGCTCAATTCTAATTCAAGGTTTCCCAAACAGTCAGGAATTCAAATCCTAACACACCCTAAAAGGTGTAAAGTCCTAGGCTTTTAAAGGGCCAAGGGCATAGAGGAAATGAGGTCCCCAACGACGGGCTACCCTCCTCACAGTGCCATGTGGCTATTGATATATTTAATTTTCACTCTCATAATTTGCCTTTAATTTTCACCCTTCTTCTCCAATAAAGCCATATTATGAGAGTGAGGGATACCTCAAGTGGTTAGAGCTTCCCTCCCGGTTCCAGGTGATCCTGGGATCGATTCTCATCACTCGCCCTTGTGGCTCTCTAAACACCAAAAAAAATATAAAATAATAATAATACCATATTATAAAAAAATAAAAAAATAAAAAAAAATTAAAAAAAAAAATTTATATACCTATAGGCTAGTTAAATATACATATACAATGACCCCTTTAATCTCATGTGTTCATTTCTTTTGAATTAGCTACAGTTATATTCAATCTATTCAATCAATAAGCCTTTATCCAATCTTTACTCTCCCTCTTTAATTCCCTCTAATGTCTTTATCTAATGTTGACTCTCCCTATATTTAATTCCCTCTAATGTCATTTTCCATTCTTCAGATATTTAAATTTCATACAAGTGCCTCTGCAAGATCAATGACCAAAATGTACTACGAGTAGCTATTGAAAAGTTTTATTGAAAGGCAATTTTTTGGACCCCCCGACCCTAAGGTACAATTGCAGTCTCTCTAATTGAGCATTGTTGTACATTTTCTAAATGATACCTCATTTCTTGAGACCTACCAATTTCATTTACCATAAAAGTAAACAATTTTATGATCTGAACAATTGTAGTAACATAATTTATTAATTTATTACAAGTAATGACTCGTAGTATCACTCGAACAAATAACTAGATAGTTTCAAACCCAGGCTTGTTCATCGTATTTCAGCAGCATTGTTGTGCTAGCACTTAACAATGTAGCATGTCTAAATTTCAACTTTTGTTTCTAGCTATTTGGAGGATAAATAATACTGTAATTAGTAATTAGTATATTAATTGATAGATGACATGTTAGAATGCGAGTTGTTATCTAGTGTTATCCATGCACATGATGTCAATCATACTTGTTATTCCGATTGATTGAAGGTTTGTATTTTAGTATTCGTTGATTGGATCAAATGCATGCGTAAATTATGGGGCATTTATCACCTTCGGGTTAAGGGGGGCAGCTATTACTTCTACTTCATTCATTTTTATACTTTATGTTTAGCTTATACATAATAAGGATTAAGGAAAAATTAAAGTGGGACTAAATTTGATCTACAAGTATATATTTTTTTATTTAAAGTTATAGATTTTATGCAGAAATCCAACCAATTAGACATTTGATGTATTTTCGAATAACAAGTTGGAATTTATAAGAAAAGAGAGGAGTTTCATGGATAAAAGAAATAACTATGTGACATGAATCCAAAACACAAAGTAAAAAAAAATTAAAGAAATTTAGTTTCAGAACTAATCATTTGATTAAGGTTGATCAAGTCAATCAAGTTTAAATATAAGGTGAAAATTAGAAGACCGAGTGAACCAAAAAGGTTAATTTGATGGTTGAAACTCATGATTGATTTATATAATCTAATTAAATCTACTCCCTCCGTTTTATTTACGTGCTCAATAATATTTAACTGAACATGTATGCCAATGCAAAATTTTAACCAGTAATAACTTTAATTATCGATATATATAAATTATACTCCTTTTGTTTTTTTTAAGTGCCCCATTTGGGGTTTTGGCACTATTCATTAAACATACTTTGACCAATGCTTGTGAATTATACATAAGAAAAAATATATTCTTATGGGTACTTGATGGAATCGTCTCAGTGAGTAGATTATTAATATTCAATTGTTATAATTTATAGTTAACTAGATTACACCCCGTGTAATGCACGGTTGTTAAGTAATTATAATGACAATAAATTTTACGAAAAAAAAAATTGATCTAAAAATATGATGAATAGACTCGGTATTAGAAAGTATGAAATATATGTGAAAGAAAATAATTGAACTTATAATAGTTATAATGGGCAATGTGATATTTAAAGAAGTTTATTTTAGATTTTGTATAAAGTAAAAGTTATAATTTAGATACAAACCTTATTTTTATGTAAAAGTAATAGTTTTTATAGTAAGAACTATTGGAAGGAAAACTTTTTATATTATGTTGCCAAGTGTCCCTCTAAGTTTCACCTTTAGTATAATGTAATTGATGATAATTAAATATATTATTGTTCAAAGTTTTGCATCGGCATGCATGACATGTCTCTATGGTCTATGGGGCACTTAAAAAAAATGGAGAGAGTAACAATTGAATATTAATAGCATATTCATTGGGGCAGTTCCAACAAGTAAATCGTAAAACTGAATTATATTTTTCCTTATATATATATATATATATATATATATATATATATATATATATATATAAAATAAAAAAATAAATAATAAAAATTGGTCAAAGTATGTTCGATTGTCAGGTGAAAAATGCAAAAAGTCTCATTACAACACTTAAAAAAATAGAGAGAGTAAAACCTTATTCTTTTTACTTTATTTTTGCTGAATTAAAATTGATTTTACTGAAGTAAAAATATTTTTGCTGAATTAAAATTAATTTTACTGAAGTAAGGTTATTTTTGCTGAATTAAATTTTTTTTTTTAATTGAAATAATTTTTACTAATTTTCTATTATATTTTCCCTTTAAAATTACTGATTAAAAAATTTATAATTAAACTGGAATTATTTTTACTAGATCTTACAACGTATTATCTTATAAAATTGAAATTATTATTATTAAACAACTTTTTAATATAGAGAACATAACCTAGATTAAATTCAGATAAGTTCGGATAAAAAATAAATAAATAAAAGAAAGAAAAGTCCAGATAGTGAATGTCCCACCAAAATAATCCCACGATCCCAAAAAGTTAGATACTTGCATGTTAGTCCATGATGATGATGATGGAGTGAAGGTGGTGGTCGTTATAAAATCAACGGTGCTGTCGTTTTTACGTCCCACAAATTTACACAATTCACTAAAGTCCAATTCATTAGTTATTGGCTCGAGTACTCTTCAAACTGCCACCTCCACTCTACTCCACATTTTTTTTTTCCTCTCCTTTATTCCCTCCTTGTCTTTTTGAATTTTATTTTTAATTTTTTCCAATTCAACGTAGGTCCCGTGATACGCCTTAAGTTAAGGAAAAAAGTTAGGACTAAATCTCAATCAACGATTTTTCTCATTTTTCCTCTCTCAATTTGTTAGATTGTTAGGTACGCAGTCTATAATAAATATTGTTAATTGGATGTAAAATAACCCTTAAATAATCAAAAGTTATTCTAATGATATGTTGCAAAATCGTAAATCACTTCTAATGTATGTTACCGTTTATAAAAAAATTATCTATGGACATTTCCTGTTAACTTAAAACAGTTTAAATTACTCTAAAATAGATGTTGTAATAAATATTATTGTACGCAGGTACAAAAAAAAATTAAGTTTCCTTTTTTAGGGTCACATTTTACATCTTTAAACACAAAATCTCTACAAATAAGTAACAAAAAGAACATTAAGTATATTTAGATTCATATTAAAATACATCGATAAAAACATCATATATTTTTAGTTTAAGTAATATTTTCATACATAATTAAAGATGTTTATAACCAAATATAGTATATATTAACGTGTTTTAAGGATATTCATAACCAATTATAGTACGTAGTGTATATTAATGCGTTTTAGAGATTATGAAAAAGCAAATAATGCCATTACAATTAGAGGCATAGAGTAATGGAATACTATAAGTGAAGCAGAAAAAAGCAAAAGAAGCAAATGCAAACACTATCTAACTAACCCTTTACTCACTATTCAACTTGGACTTAAATGCCTTTTTCTTCATTTCCACTCAATTGCCCCCAAACACCCGCCATCATTCTTGCCCACAAAACCAACATTATTACATTTTCTGTCTCTTCATCTTCCCAGATTTTTCTAACCTCAGGTATGCTTTTTTTTTTTTTTTTTTCTTTTGTTTTTTCTTTCGTAATTTTCTGGGGTTTTTCAGTTTATTTCGGTTAAATTTAGTTGATGGGTCTTTTGTTCTTTTGCAAGATAAAAGAAATTTAGATGAGGAAGGTATAAATTGTGGTATTATTGTACTTGTTCTTTGGTCATTTCTTTCTCCAATAATTTTTGTATGTTCTTTTTTTCATACTTTTGTTTACAGTTTATGTTCTTTAACTTCTTGCTGTAGTTCATTGTTATGTGTATGTTTTTCTTTCATTCTTTGGCTAGAAAGTGTATCTTGGATTTCGAAAAGTATTAGGTGAGTCGGACTTACACTAAGTCATAAAGCAAGTTAAGACGACCCAAATTTATATTTCAAAATCTTGGCAATTTTCTTGGTTGAAATTTGAGTGCATTGTTCCTTTTTCTTTATCATTTGGAAATTTTTTTTTTTTTTTTTTTTTTTTTTTGTTTTTTTTATTTGTGTTTGAATGGCAAGAATCAACTTGATACTTGCTGCTTTTATTAATTTATTTGATAATGTTAATGTAACATATTTTACTAATTAATAACCTGTAATTCTTGATTTTATACTATGATAGAATGATTATATAATATTGTGCATTAGTTGTTTTAGTACTGTTATTACTTTATTTATGTCTCAATTTTTGGTGTTGAAGTAGTTCTCATAAGCTTAATGTTCTTGATATCACAGATTTAAACCAGCTTATGCTTAGAATTCTCTCACAGCTTGATTGATTTTCTAGCAAAAAGTCGAACTAATGGAGAAAAAACAGCTAAATTTTAGCGTTCCTCTGATGTCTGCAAGACGGTATTCATCTCCAATACGCCGTTCAGGTGAGCAGGACAAGAGGGATTCTCCGCCAAAGAACCGGAGCTCAATTCCGTCTCAGCCATCAGATGTAAACTTGGATGAGGTGGTGAAGCCAGGGTCTGTTCCATTCATTTGGGAGCAAGCACCGGGGAAAGCAAAAGGCGGAAATGAGTCTCAGACACAGAGCCCTGATGAGGTGCCTACGACTCCTAAGGTTCCTCCTAGTATGCCATTTCCTCCTGGTAAAAAATCAGGGGAATTGAATGGATACAGAACACCCAATAAACTATCAGGAGAGTTGGCAGTTCTTAGACCTCGAAACAAGCTATCAGGAGAGCTAAATGTTCTAAGACCCCATAAGTTTTCGGGTGAGCTTAACACCCATCACCCCCATAATAAACTCTCAGGGGAACTTAAGACATTGAGTGCCAAATTTTACTCCTCGAATGATGGTATTGTTAGATGGGATGGTTCAAAAGAGGGGACTGAAATGAATGAAAGTTCGTCAGAAGATGATGCTACATTCTCTGATGCAATTGAAACTTTGTCTCAGTTAGAGTCGTTTTCTGTCAATTGTAGTGTCAGTGGTTTGACTGCTTCAGATCGCCCTGAGACCAAACGTTCTGAGAATCTTCCAACAGATCCAAGAGCTCGGGAGTTTATGATGAACCGGTTCTTACCTGCAGCTAAGGCAATGACCCTCGAGCCATCTCATTATTCCTCTAGGAAACAACTTGTAGTTGTGGAGCAAACTAAGGAAGTTAAAGCATTGGTTCCTAGAGCTATGACACCTCCACCTAACCGAAACATATGCAACATTGTGCCTTACACTGGTCAAGATATTGGGTCTGAAGAAAGTGAAGATGAAGAAGACAACTATGATGGGAGGAGCGCTCTATCTGTTAAAGTCAAAGCTTGTGGATTTCTTCCTTGGTTTTGCTCAAAGAACTCTTTGCGCCTTGTTAATCCACTACCGACCATGAAGGATAGATCAAAGAGTGCTCTGTCTTCTGCCAGTAAACTCGGCAAATTGGTTAAGAATAAATCGTGGAGATCTCCCAGTCAAAAACTGGCTAAGGTAATTGGCTACTCTCCTATCCTAGAGATTATAACTGTTAGAAAATACTCGCTCTAAGAAGTGATTAATTGCATAGTATTACAGTCTGTTGTTTAAATTAGATTGTAATTTCTACTTACTAACGAATATGATGGTATTTATTTTCAGCAAGATACACATAGTAATCAAAAGCACAAGACCAGTCAAGTGTACAAAAGCTGTGAGCTACAAAAGCCAAAGCATTCTTCTAGGCCAATGTTCTACTCCGGGGAGCTGCAGACTAGAAGTGGCTCTCCTTACCGAAGTCCCAGGAGAAGTGCTGTCTCTCCCTTTCGGAATGAATCACCTCAGTCCCTCTACCAAAAGGGTGTAGGTTTTCTTGCAGTCCCCAAAGAGGTTGATTCCTTTGCTGAATATCGGTCAAAGGTTCCTCAAAAGGGTAGTTCGAAAAGATTTGAAGATCCAGGAAAGAAGATAAGGAGTTCAGGCACAAGAAGCCCAGCTGTTGAAAAGACACTATATGTAGATTCTGTAAATATCACCAAAGTCTCCCATTCAATTTTGAACTTGCCAAAGACCAAAAGGCAGGTAGACGGAATGGTTCAACAGGCTGTAAAATTAGAAACTCCGTCTGAACATGGAGGACGAATGGAAATCATGAAGGCTAGGGGCATGAGTGGACCTCTTGTTTGTGGCGCCGCTGATTCCTCAGAACCTGCTAGAATATTAGAAAAAGGCAACACAAATACCTGCAGGGAGCTTGTTTTAGTGTCATCAGATGACAACACCACTATGCAGTCTACTCTCAATCCCCCGTTGCCAAAATCACCATCAGAATCTTGGCTTTCTCGGCAATTGCCTTCAGTTACACCAAGGGCTTCACCCAGGAACTCAGTTTCTTATTCAAGTCTGAACTCCAAGATCTTGTCCAGGCAGCAGAATGCCAAAACACTCACTTCTGGTGTCAAGTGGGAAACTATTGTCAAAAGCTCTCATTTGCGTCAAGATCATGGACGTTACTCAGAGGTAATGTTATCCTATTTCAATTAAACCCCAAATATTATTATGCAATGCAAGCAATGATAATACACTCTCATAAATCGTACTCATTAGCCCATCCTAGAAGAGGTTTTGGGATTTTCCTGACTAAATAAGAGAATAATTTCGGAGCAGAAGACCATAGATTAGACTGCTGTAGCTCCTAGGCATCAACTAGGAGTTCCTCATCATTATCCTCGAATTTTCTAACATTCAGTTCACTCCATGCAGGAATTGGTAACTCAAGTTTCTCAGCAAGGTCGAAGATGGAAGTAAAGGTCTCTAGACTATTGAAATATATATACAAACACTCACCGTGATTATACATGGATTGTTTTGCCATAACTGAAGATTTAAGTTTTTTCCTCAACAATCTTCAGTTTCCACATTTTTTTTGGAGGCTGGTTAATTTATCATGTTTCGCCGCCCTGGAGTTTTCTTTCTTTGCTTAAACCTTAGGACTAGGAGATTGGGGTCACCATCATTCCAAGAAATGTACCTAGTTCCAACAAGTGGATTTGTTGTGAACCTTAGATAACTAGTACAGACTGCTTTCAGAATGCAGCTTTGGTTATGAAAAAAAGCTGTAATAGAATCAACATTTTAATTTATAAATTGGCAAGGTTTTTATAATATGGTTATCTTGTATTTGTTTTGGAAGTTTGTACCTATATTTTCTTATTTCTGGCAAGTAGAAATCATAATTTACATGTTAACATGGTTTGCTACACTTTGAATCTTTAACCCTACTTATATCCGAATCATATTTTGTGCCAAGGCCGATGATGAAGATTATGAGCCCTGGTTTTGTAAAAGAGGCCTGAGATAAAACGATTTTTATCTCAATTCAGGAACCTTCAAGTACTTGTTCATGTTACAGTACTCAAGGATGACTAGGTGATTGTGATTCTATGTTTCGTGCTGAAGATGGTCTTTTGGATCCTCGGTGCATAATTACTAACAAGCCATCAAAACATTAATTACTTTTTTTTTTTTTTACGAAAGAAAGATACATGATTACAATTAGGTCCATCTTCTCTTAAAGCAAAATTCTGTTTTGGAAGGTCTAGTTTGGAATTGATATTACATGATAACATGAGCATAACTTAAATGAGTTCAGATGAGAAAAAAAGTTGTACTCTATTTTCTAAAGAATTTGATCCATCTAATTTTTAAAGCCTAATAAAAAGGACATTAGCTTCTTTAGACTTACTCTAGAAGCTCATCATGAGATGATTTAGGATTTGTTGAAGTTTAAGAAAGAAAAAGAAGTATCCCTACCATAAGTGTTTGATTTTGGAGCAGGAACAAGCATCAAAAAAGTATCCCTACCATAAGTGTTTGAGTGTCCCTTTGGAATCAAGGGAGTGTTGGAATAGTCTCCTTGAACTGGTGACTATTGAGTCATGTCTCCTACAATCTGGTAGTTGAAAATGGAAAAAGTTAGTGCATTCATTTATCTGTTTATTATTTATATATTTTTTATGATAGTTTTATGACAATATCCATAACAACACTCGTGACAATGTCCATCCATTGTCAAATATACTTATTTTTATAATATTATTATATATCAGATTTGTGTATGAGAACCTCCTTAAGGAAGAAGAATAGATTTTTTAAGTGTAGAGATGAATGGAGTGACTCCCAGAAGGAATACTCAGCTATGAAAAACTTGCTAATTTAGCAAGGAGACGAGCAAAGAGAAGCCTAATCAAAGTACAGAGGCACTCAGCCATGTCCATATCGAAAGGCTTTCTAAACCCAGCTCTGTAGATAGAAGCCTAGATTGACTCCTACACATTCTCAGAATGGGTTGGAGACTAGTGACAAGCACAAACGTCACCCCTAAACAAAGCCATTTATAGTCAGTATGAGTTGATAAACAACAAAGGAGACTCAACGGGATTAAGGCATGGCAGCAGAGTTACGGTTTAATGCTTATGAGATTGTGACAGTAATGAAGATCAGTTTATAAAAGAGGGTAACATCACTAATTTACATGCTCATTTGGTCACTTCTGATAAGGTACAAATAGTGTAATACCTCACCTAGACGGTGAAAAACTTGCTGGGTCGACACATCATTGTCGTAAAAGGTACCGCCTTAAGAGGATAGATATCTCAAATGTGCTACCATACCTACATGAAACTTGAACCTTCATTCTATTGACAAAGCTTTGCAATGATTTCACTGCTCCCCCACCTCAACCTCAGAAAAACAGTCATTACCACGGGAGTTAAAAAATTACTCTTTAGCCTCAGTAGCACCTATACCATTAGCAGCAACCAACCTTCAAGACATCTATTCCATCAGCAAACACATTCTTCTACTGCCAGGCCATGCATTCCCCTAGCAGGAGCTACTGGGACAGCCAAGATTCTGATGCAAGGTCTCCTAAATCTAGAAACATTCATCTCAAAAAAAAAAGGGAAGAAATGAAAAACTAAACAGTAATCTCCACCAATATATATATATAGAAATTCAATGCAATCTATATAAGCCCCTATAATAGGAACAGAAGAGAAGATAATTAAATAGTTCATAAGGATAGATAATGCCGACAGATACAGATAATGAACAAGGTAAGCTGTGGATTTAACAAGTCAAAGCAGACTGTCAAGCTATCACCTGTGACAAATGAGTTGTCTTAGTTCCAAGTGAATCTATATGTACAAGTTAACACCCCTCCAGTATTTCAGACTGTCATCTCGGCTTCTCAAAGCAATTATTACAACTCAGCAGCGTGAGAAATCCCTGAACCACCTGAAACAGCTATCTCCCCATTGTTCAGTGCCCGTCTGTTCAATACTTCAATATGATATTGTACATATGACCCGACAAAACCCTAAGACTTCTTCACCAAAGGACCTTTATACTGCCCACGCAAAACCACAAAGTTTTCTGGAGGCGGAGTCTCTTCTAACCAAACAATTCCGTCGAGATTTACACCCTCTAGTTGTTGACCAATATCATCTAGCACAAGTCGTGGATACAAGGCATCAGCATTAAGCGATGGAAAACGAGATTTGGTATTAAAGACATGCATGATAAAAAGATCAAATACCCGGCAAGCCTTTATTAGGAACTCTCCGGAAATAAGAGCAGTGTCGTCCATCCTCTGAAGAATATGGAGGGGTAAGGATGTCAAAGATGGCACAGGGCGTTATTGCCATAAAACAATGGATGTTGCCACCTTTTGTCGGATACAAAACGGTTGTACTACAAGGAGCTCTCATTTCACAGTCTCTAACCAATTTGGCAGGTCTAGCTGTAAATTTCAAACGATATGAAGTTAAAGCCTCAAGGAAGCAATACGATATCCAATAGAGGGCAGAATGATAATGCAGAGATCTTTTTAATTCTAAGAGACATGAAGTCACAGCATAAAAAACCAAGAAGATATATGTTGCCATAGCAATGGGCTCAAAGTGAACCTTTCATTCATACATGCATTTTAGTTAAATATATGAAGACCAACTTTCTCTCGAATTTCAACAATACATATGAAAATTGCTAGCAGAACACAACCAAATCAACAGGCCCACAGAATGGAGCAATGTTTCAAGAAGCAAGAAAACAAGGGAAAGGTAAAGAAAGTAGACAACAAAAGATCAGAATTTTTTCTGAAGAAAATTTATCAAGAAACAAACTACATCGACCCAGCAAGTTTTTCACCGTCTCTCAATACCCTGAGACACACTATGTTTCCTGAACGGCTGCACACTTCATGGTTGGGTAAAATTGCAAATGAGAAGATTCAAATTTTAATTCCCCAATTGCTCAGCTCTCATATCACTCAATACCCTTTATCTAAACAGGTAGCACTTCTTATTTAAAAAAAAAAATTATAATATAATTTACCAAAAAAACAAAAAAAAAAAAACCCCTCTTAGCAAACAATAATAATAAAACACGGAGTAAATGTTTTGGATTCAATCTAATATGTAATGTAATTCGCTAATCAGATGTTGATTTCAATTCAGTGGTTTTGGTGATATAACTCAAAATAGCCCATCAAAATTAAGGAATAGGAAAACAGAAAATGCAGAGTTCCAATCCTCTGCTTTTCATCTTCTTCGATCTCCCCAAACTTCAACGACAGCTTAGTAGCAATTTATCAGCTTCAAAAAGCTCAAAAATGATGGAACTTAGTTCAAAACTGGCAGGCTCACATGCGTATATGGGTTTATTGTTGCTTCAATATTCATATTTTGATAATGCTGATACATGAAATGGATTTTGAAACTTTGTTTTTTGGGGTGTGTGTGTGACTGTTTTTAGGGGGGAGGGGGGGGGGGGGGGGAAGTTGAGAGGCTTTTGTAGTGTGACATACTGAATGTCTCTAGCCTGTACCTATTTATTTGTTAAAAAGTGTTATTACTCGAAAAAAAAAAAAAAAAAAAAAAAAAAAAAAAAAAAAAAAAAAAAAAAGGAGGCCAATTTTACAAGGAATTTACATTAGATTTGAATCATCAGCAGTAACAGTATCAAGAAAATCAATCTCAGCAACTAACAGGTACAATTACACCCAATTTGTGATTAAGTGGAGAGTTAACATATGGAGCTTCTCTTAGCAATTCCATTCATATCAATATACTCCCCTGCTTCACAATAATTGCAACACTAACTTGGGCACATAGTTTTAAGAAACTCATCTGTGAGTAATAGATTTTGTTAATATTATGATGTAAAAGTTGCTGTTGTGGGGCAATTATATTATGTAAAAATTGACATCGAGGGGTAATATTATATGATATGAGAAAGGGTGGTTTCTTGAAATAATTTTACAGAACTTCCCATATATTAGTGGAGCACACAAGGGGAGACATTTTCCAAGTCATGAGGGAGTATTGATGCTATCAACATTCATACTCAATCTAACTCACAGGTATTACTACATTGATACACAAAATGAATCAGGAAATCTGCAATTACATCAAGCAAGATGATGTACCTCGGCAAGATTCAGGGAGCTCAGGTATGTCAACCCAATCATATGACTTTACATGCAAGGTGCCATATACAAGCTTGCTTAACACAGTCATTCCGGGATGGTTGTGCAGAGGTATGATTGATGCGGGTGGCATGCAGAAAATTCCTATCTGCAAGAGGCAAAATTCTTGCTTAAGGCATCATTTACCACAATCTTGAAACTTCACAAGGTTAATCCAGTATATTCACAGAAGCTAAAGAGGCACTATACTTACAGAGAATTTTTCACATTCATGTATGTGTAGATACTTTATGGGAGGAGGATACTGCTGCTGATTGCCACTGCGACCTTTTCTTCCATTGCTACCATTAGAAATAGGTTTCCATTTTTGCGCTGCTACTGAATCCTGCTCAAGACCCACATTTGCAGGCTTTAAGTCATCTGAAAGAGCATTCAATACGAGTTAGCACTGCCATATAATGACTGATCAGTATAACATTCGAGCAGACACAATCTGAATTTAATTCCTTTAAGAACACTAGTCCACTGTTCAAGGGAGTACAAGTCCACAACTCAGGCAGCATTTAAAATAGGTATGAAATATAGCCCACTACACTCTAGATAGGTGTATGAAATAAGATGAAAGCTAAATCAATAATTAAAATGAATGATATTACCCCCCCCCCCCCACCCATTT